TCTCTCTCCTTTTCACTTCTCTCTTTCCTCTACTTCTCTCTCTCTCTCTCTCACAAATCATTTCCTAGAACCCTAGCCAGAGAACAATATTTTCACTTACACCACCATTAATGGCGGAGCTACAACCCCAGAGGGCCATACCAACGATGGCGAACCCCCGTGGTAGTGATTTCACCTGTCGAAATACAGATGAGGTGAAGGAGGGAGACGAACTTTGAGAAGTCCCTGAACGATCTATTCTTCAATCTTCCCACCATCATCAAAAAGCTTCAAGTACTCTCTCTCTCTCTCTCTCTCCCTCTCTCTCTCTCTCTCTCTCTATTTGCACTTTCATTCTCTAGTTTTTGTCAAGGTTAGCCTTCAGACTTCTCTTTCTCTCTTTCTCGATTTATCTATTTGCACTTTCATTATCTAACTTTTGTCAAGGTTAGCCTTCTCTTTCTCTCTTTTATTCTCTTTCTCGATCTATCTATTTCTACGAATTGATTATTTGATACAGAAACTATAATTTTCAAACAGAATCTTAGTACCTTGTTGAAACCCTAGCCAAGATCCAACTTCGATCAGCCGCCTTCGTCGTGGCCTTCGAAGATTCAAGCCCAGATTCTACTTCCACATCATCACTCATTCTCTCTCTCTCTCTCTACATTTGTATGTCAATATTTTTTTGTTTGTTGTTGATTGTTGAGTTTTGCTTTCGTTAGGGTTTCTATTAGTGATCAGATTAAGCAATTAGCTATTTAGAAGGGACTTTTTGAATTCATTTGTTGTTGTTGTTGTTGTTGATGTTGACGTTGATGATAATGAAGAAACATACTACAACAAATAGGGAGATAAAAGAAGAATACAAGATTTGAACATATAGGGTTGGGTTTGGTTTGGTATTTGCAACAGATAGGTGTTGTTTTGGCTCTCTATTTCAACAGATGGAATTTGGTTTGACTTGGTATTTCAATAGATAGATTTTTTTTAAAAAAATGAACAGATAGAATTTTGATAGAGAATTCAGCGAAAAAAAAAATTTTGAACGTATAGATTTCAATAGATAAGAAAAATTAGAACAGATTTTAAACAGATAAAGAGAGAAATTCATAGATTTTAAATAGATAAAGCGAGAAACCCACATATTTTTAACAAATAGGGAAAAAATTCAACAGATAAATATAAATTTGAACAAATAGAAAATAATTTGAACAGATAGATACAAATTTGAACAGATAGTAAAAAAAAGTCAACAGATAAATTAAGGGGTAGAATTAAAAATAAAATGTCCTTTAAAACTAATAAAAAGACATATCATCAAACTATTTTACAAATGGTGGACCTTTCACTAACAAAAAAATATTCATTGGATCTAATACCTTAGACAATTGTTAGCAGTGGCGGAGGGAGCATGTGACCAGGGGGATCACGTGCTCCCTAGATTTTGGGATTTTTTTTTTTTTTTTTTTTTTTTGTGCAAACATAAAAAAAATATTTTAAATAAAAAATTTTAAAAATATTATTAGAGCGAAATGTCAATGACATTTTAAAAATTATGAAAACAATAATTATTGTTTTGATTGAAAATGAAGAGATTATTATAAATAAACCATATTAGCTATGAAATTTTTTGAATGTAACGGCGATGCCATTATTAGTGATGTGCAAGTATAAGTAATCTCACTATAAATATATGGAATTTATTAGATTGTTAGTTAGACTTGGAATGTGAGGTTCACTCTTTACGTGTTCATTTACCATTAGTGGGTGATATCACATACCAATGATGACGTGGTATTACCATTATATTGAATTTTTAATCAATTTTTGTATCGAAAAATAATTTATCATTACATAATTTATTTTAAGGCTTATATCCATATATTTTTTTTGTATTATCCATGATACACTAGTTACAAATAACATTCAGCTTGTCTGTTTCCAGTTTTCAGAAAATTTACTTTTTTTATTGTTCGTATTTTAATGTTTTGAATGAATTTTTTTTAATATTTTAAGCAAATTTTTTAATTTTTAGACACACCTAACAAAAATACACTTAAAAAGTATAATATTTGTGAAAAAAATATTTAAAAAATACATTAAATACCAAAAAATACACACACAAAAAAAACAAAATTTTAGTATATTTTTTGCATTTTTGTGTATTTATTAATTTTTTAAAATATTTTTTTACAAATATTTTTTACTATTTAGATACATCTAAGTAAGGTACATCTAAAAAAGTAAAAAAATTATTTAAAATTCAAAAATATTTACTAAAAACAAAAAAATACGAAAAATAAAAAAACTCAATTTTCAAAAAACTAAATTCAGAAAACTGAAACCAAACACACTAATTATTTTTTTTTTTTTGATGTTTCTTGAAATCAATTGTAAAAATTTGCGTAAAATATTTTTGTAAAAATTATTGTAATTAATAAGTACCCCTTCTAATTTAATTTTCTCACTCCGTCACTGATTGTTAGAGTGAATTTTTCAACAATTAACTCTTATTTTTATAGTTTAAGTCAAATAATTGATTGTTTTGGTCCTGAGAACATAGTTAATGAAATATAATAATAAGAAATACAAATTATTATTTTAAATAAATCTTTTTATTGCTTTTATATTTTTCTACATCTACTCCCTCTTTTTATTCTCGCATTTTGACGATAATTTATAATAAATTGTCGCCAAAAAAGTCTTTATGAGTTGTAAAAAAATCACCGACAACACAATTTTGGAAAATGTTGATGGCGGATGTTGAAGGTAATTTGAAGAGTGTAATGGGCCATTTAGCACAACGTAATTCGCTAATTTGAATTCACCATATTCTTCAGTTAACTTGTCAGTTTTAAAGATTGACAATTTGATGAGGGGGGTGAAAACATAAAAGTTTCGTTTGTGATGTTGGTTGTTTTTTTCATTTTTTCATTTGTTGTTATTTTAGGTCTTGTTTGGAATAAATTAAAAAAATTAAAAAATTATTTAAAAAGTTAAAAAGTATATATTATTCAAGAGTAGCTCGTGGGGAAGTCATTATGATAAAATTAGTATTTTACCCTTTAAATTCAACTATCCAAAAAATCAAAAAATTAAAAGTCAAAAAGTTAAAAGGATAAAATAGTCATTTTGATTTTATTACAATATTTTATTACATATTTTTTCTTAAAAAGTTAAAAAATTATTCTAAATATACATCTTTTTTTTCTCTACTTTTTTAACTAAAAAATCAAAAAGTACACTTTGAAATTAAAAAGTCTCGTTTAAAATATATTTTTTTATTTTTTATTTTTGTAAGAAAAAAAATAAAATAATTATAATTTAGATATAATATTTTTTAATTTAAAATTAAAAATTTTATTTTGCCTTTTTATAACTATTTATTAAAAAATTTACTCCAGTTCAACTTTCCAAACCAGCGCATAACCAACCCCGCCTAGGTTATTTGATTGAAGAAATATCTCAAATTGACACGTGGACACTCTTAATTGCAATGGGTGTTTTAAGGGGAAATTATTCAATACTCCCGGAACACCACGTGTCCATACTCCAAACTAATTATCAATTACTTAGTCCCATGTTGTTCTCCCATCACCAACATAATTCGTGGGCTCTTGTGTCTTTCCACCAATCAAAACCTTATAGAGCACCACGTGTTCATACTCCAGGAGTACTGAATAAACACCCGTGTTTGAAGTGCCAACAAAAGTGTGTGGAACAATTTAGGTCACATAAACAAATAAGGGTCATCCGTGACAGGTATTCTTAGAATATATATATAAGATAAAATATTTATAAAACATAATATATTTTTTATTAAATTAAATACACTTTTATTCAAATTAATACATTTTAAAATATTTTTATTATATTTTTTTATATACTTTTTAATATTAAATAATATCTAAAAACATTTGTTAGTATTTGTCAATAAATAAACACATGACAACAGCCTCTCAACTATCCCGTGATGATAATAACATCAGTCATTAATGTTTAGTCCCGCGGCTCAGCACTCATCACATAAAATTGCATTCAAATACAATGCAACAACACCCTGTATATATATATATATGGTTGTGGTGGCCACAATTAATTTTTTTCGTCCATATTTCTGCAAGCTCTCGTCTTCAAGAAATTGAAAGAAAATGAATGAACATTTATTGAGATTTTGATATTTTTAGTCCCATTGTTTTCACAATTATTACTATTATGGGTAATTACCTTAAAAGTGAAGGATCACTCAACCATTTTTTCCATGCTTTAGCTCAAGAGCAATGCTAAGAGTCTAAATGAATTACAAAATATTCTATACAATTTTTACATGAGTATAAAATTCACGCCACATGTTAACATTTTTGTTGAAATAATCAATTTTAAAACGAAAAATTGTGCGAAGCTTGCTTTATTTTGAAAAATTAAAGTCATGAAAACCAATTAAGAATACATAGGAGAAAAGAAACAGTGAACTTTGAAATTCATACCATATGTTATTCGAAAATTGACACAGTACATATTCATAGTCTTGGATTTAGGTAAGGGTTTGAGCTTACGCACCCTTTTTACCTACTAACTTTGACATAACAAGCCAAAATAAATAGATAAAAGAATTAGCAAATCTTCCTCTCTTTCCCATAGTTGAATTTAATACAGGAAGCCCTACCGACCTCCTTAAACTGAATTCAATCTTTTACCTACTATTGATGACAACTACGTAAGATCAGCCCGGAATGAAATCATTTGTCCTCAAATCTCATTATTCCTCTATCATAATGCATATTTAGTCTGTAATAAGATCATATCTCGAGATTCTCACAATTAAACGATTGACAATGCATTGGAAACTAATGAATAGAAGAAACTGAGGACAGAAATTCATGGCCCAACCATGCATTGTCAAGTATTAACTTACAGTAAGAAAGTGAAACGAAATGGATTCTACTCATCGAATCAGTAAACCTTTCTCATGTTTGCCTAAAATTCAGTATTAAAAGGAAAATGCTATTCTGTTTAGATTTGTAGAACAATTCTCAAATTTCATTATGGGTAAGGAGGCCAAATATTCTCAAATTTCAAAGTGAAAATGCATACATTGTTGTGTTCAAGATCTATTGATAGTTCCATTCTTTTTTCCCCCTTCTTTTTCTTTATATCAACCATCTTCTAATTTTGCCTTCCAGAATAAAGAAATTACATAAGAGAAATCGTATCTAAAACCTTAATGCTGTGTTTGGTTAAGGGATTTGAGGAGGGATTTGGAAAGGGAAATGGAAAAAGTAGGTGAAATGTGAAAAAAATATACCTACATTTCACATAGTTTCACACACTTTTTCTCTTTCTCTTTCCAAATCCCTCCCCAAATTCCCTAACCAAACACAACATAAGAAAAAGAAAAGGAAAAAAAGAATTAGACATTGGGTGAGACAGATGAGTGAACCACCTTGTTTTGTCTTCCCACAAGCCAAAGCATAGTCCTCTTTGCAAAAGACGGTGTTTTTGGTTGAGAAGCCAAACTGTTGCAGCTCTGATTTTCCTCGTCACAACCCAATTCACTCCCTCCTCCATTTTCCCACCTCCCAATTGCAATCTCAGAGATGGTCCTCCTGGTACCACTCCCACCACTCTTAGGGTTCATGTCATCACCGGAAACAACACTCCGGTGCACTGGAAACCGGAACGATAAAGCCCGTCTCGACACCTCCATACCCATTGGATGAGGCTTCTCCTTCTTTGCCCTCATCCAAATCTTGGATACTGAAAAGCTCTCTCTCTTGCTCCTCCCAATAGCATTGTCATTGTCATTGCCATTGCCATTACCATTCCCATTACTAGTACTACTACCACCAGTACCAATTCCATGAACTTGAACACTTTTAAACGGATCAGAACCATTAAAGTCTCTTCTAGAATCACAATCACACTCTGACATTGCAGGCTTATGACCGGGTGTCAATGGCAGAGAAGATTTCTTGCTTGATTGTTTCTTCACTGGGGTTCGAATGGGTACTTGCAATGACGAATTCTCATCCATTACATATGCAAAAGACCCCATAGAGAAGCACCTTCTTGCATCAACATTATTGTTACTACTACTACCTTCACCTCCACCATCCACATTTCTAAATTTTCCCAGCTTAACAGCCACTACTTGCTCTTCTGAACCCACCATTGTTTGTTGAGTTTTTCCAGGAATTTCGCATGATGTGCGGCCGGATGAGCCAAATTCATTCCTACAGTGAAAACCCAGATGGGAATTTGCTCTTGCTATTGAATTGGTGGTGCCCAAAGGACCATCTCTGTCTGAGACAATCTCTCTTGAACTGTCACTGCCAGATTCAAGAACAAGGACTATTGGTGAAGAGCAGTAATGGTTTGGTGAGAAATCAGGAAGCAGAGTAGCTCTACAGAGAGGGCAAGTGGAGTGAGACAAGAGCCATGTGTCTATACACTCCATGTGAAAGGCATGGCTGCATTTGGGCAACAACCTGAGCTTATCTTCAGGCTCAAATTCACACAAACAAACAGCACAATCAAAGGGGTTTTTCACACCAATAATTGCTTTGTAGTTGAAGACAGGAAGGGTGTCTATGAAGGACTGGTCCACACCAGAATCATGGAGGTGGAAGAGTTGCTGTAACTGACCTTGAAGGGCAGTCACGTTGTCCAAATCATCTGGGTCTCTGTTTTGAGGTCTTAATAGGTATCTAACAAGGAGGTGAAGCAAACCAGAGATAAAGAAAATGATTGCAATAATTATGATGATAAGCAATATACTTGGGCTTACCTTGTTGTTAAAATTCAAACCACCGGATTGAAGATCCACTGGCAGAGGTGGAGGTGGCTGAGAGATCGAATATGGTGGCTGTGACGGAGAAAGAAAGTCGTCCTGTTTGATTTCAAAGAAAACCCAGCCCATAATTTTCTAGGGAAAGTAAGAGACGACTCTCCAAAATTGGAGCTTTAGGCTTAAATCATATGGTATCAATCAAGAGTATCATGTCAGTCACCATAAACAAATCTAAGCCCAAAGAAGAACCTCAGGACATTTTTTAAGCTTACTGGCATGTGGGTTTGTGAGATAGGCCTTGTGTGTTGTGTTGTGATGCAGAGTCTATAGGGTTAAGCCAGGTAATTTCACTGCAAAGTGGACCTGCAAGCAAGTCAAATATATATATATATATATAGAGAGAGAGAGAGAGAGAGAGAGAGAGTGTGGGGGAAATAAATGTGATGCCCAGAAGGTAATTCAAAATAGAGCAATAAAATAAAGAAAGTATTAATGGCATGAATTAATTAGATTATAAATGATACAGTCATTCTCATTCATGGTTATAAATTTTTTGAAAGATTAGAAAAAGGTGACTCTTGTGATTTTGTCAAATGCAATGCAAGGCCGCTCGCGTTGACTTCAAAGTAATCCCATGCATCAACCCCAATGCCGCGTTTAGTTCACCTGATTTTAAAAAAGAATAAAAAAAAAGTATAGGTAGAAGAACATAAATATAAGGAAAATGTATCGTAATTTAAATTTTATGGCTCAAAAGTAGTTTAAATGGCCAAAACGATGTTGTTTTGACCATTTTTATGTTGTTTGTACTCAAAATGACGTCGTTTTAGCCATTTGAGCCACAAAATTTAAGTTACGTAGCATTGTCGTAAATATAAATCATTTGTCTTTGGTTTTAATTTTTTTAAATTGAGTTTTTTATTTTTTATATATTTTATTTTCAGTGAATATTTTTTAAATTTTGAGTTTTTTTTTTTAATTTTTTAAATGTAATGTTAAATGTATTTAAAAATTAAAAAAAAATACTTAAAATATTAAAAAAAACCAAAAATACGAAAAATAAAATGATTCAACTTTCTGAAAAGTAAATTTTAAAAACTCAAACTAATCGGGCTGAATTATTTTATTTTTTAGTTGGAGATATGAACCCGAATGGGTTCACTTCTGTTTCACTATTATATTATTTTATCTGATCACATTTTTAATCGATCCTTCTATTCTATTTATAATCTGATTCCAAATCTATTCCACAGATTTGTATAACAATAATGCTACAGACCACTAAATTTCTACCACTAACACCACCACTAATGATGTGGCAAGTAAAAAAAAAAAACAAAAACAAAAACTAAGACACAAAACACATGTGGCACACATCCCTAATGCAACCACTAATTAGTGGTCTGCATCATTTTTCATTGGTATAAACAAAAGAAAGAAGGTGAAAGTCAAAAAATTGGAGGACAGTGAAAAAAAAGACAAAAACAGTTGGAGGAAAGAGTTGCTTATAATATAATTTTTTGTCACGATCACTATATACATTATAAATCTTTTACTTTATGAGAGGGTAATTTATACTTATAAATTGAGTTGAGTTGGGTAATGGGCCGTTATGGGCCACATTGCAAAGGGCTGAGTATAATGGCCATAAAGTAACTCCGGCTCAAGAAAGGTGTAAAAGTTACTCCAGCTCAAAAGAGGTGTAAAAGTTACTCCGGCCCAAGAGAGATGTAAAGTTACTCCGGTCCACGAGAGACCTGAAGTTACTCCGGTCACAAAGAGCTTATGGTAAGTTTGGTCGTCACTCACAAAGTTATCCCGGTTTGTACAGGAGTATTGGTTATTCCGGTCTAAACATACCGTGGTTAGCATTAAGAAGAGCCGAGGTAAGAGCAGTAAATGGAAGAGCCGAGCTACTGTTATCTCGGTCCAGTCTGCGGCTTAGCATAACCATGCTTACCTCGGTCATGTTAAAGTCTGACCATGATAGAACCATCTCACTTGGTTTATGCAGTGAGGGGGTGTTGAAGGATAGGCATTATCTTCAGGAGTATGAATCCTATGAGGACTCTACATGGAGGAGTAAAAGTCCTACTAGGATTGTGCCACGCGGAACCTATAAAAGCTTACAACATCACCTACGGAGATGTAACACACGACTTTGATACACAGAGCTTTTTGTCTTTGTCTATTTTGCTGACTTAGGCATCGGAGAGGTATCCGGCACACACCCGCCGGCTAGCTCACGTTCGTATTTTCAGGGAATAAAGCGACGACGTTCGGAGGAGCGCAGACTTGATCAACAGGATTATACGAGAAGGTTTATTTCTTTCCCGTACAATTGGCGCCGTCTGTGGGAAGTCAGACAAAGAACAAAACCTCTTGATCAAGTTTTCCTCGCTAAAAACAATGGCGCACAACGAAGATTTGCCGCAGTCCGCCATCGACAGACAAACACCAGAGGGGGGTGCAAGACGCGAAGGCCTACCTTCTATCCCTCCCATGACAGACTTAGAGCCACAGCGACAAAATCCCAAGAGGGATACAAGGGGGAGGAGGCGGACTAACAGCCCCCGTCACTCTCGTTCACGAAGTCCTGACAGACAAAGGCGGAGGATTGATCCTCAAGTTGTGGAGGACCGCGTGAAGGAGCAAGATGAATTAATAAGGAAGATGGCGGCGGATATGGAGGCCATGAAGCGCCAGATGAAAGGAAAAGGAGTGGCGACAGGAGAGGAGCGCAAAAGAAAAACGCCTCCTCGCCGCTCAGAAGACCGTGGAAGGCATTCCACACCATCACAAGCAGAGAGTAGAAGCCTCAGGACAGGCGATACTCAATCCAGAACTTCCAGAACTTGTTACTCCAGGTCTGAGAGAACGAGATCATTAAGGTCTTACACTAAGGGAAGTACCTATCGACCCTCGCGCTCGCACCAGACATCATCTAGGCAGACGGAGTTACCAAGATCATCCGATTTGCGGAACATGTTGGAAGAAAAGGCACGATGGAAGGAGGGTACTAGGGCGCGCAACCCTCGCAGGGTATCCGCCCTTCAACGGTTGGCTCCTCAAATGCATGGAAGCGTCGAGGTCGGAATGCCGTTGCCACGACCTGCCTACGAACCAACGGACAAAGCATTAGCAAGGCTGCAGACCTCGCCGTTCATTCCGGCAATTGAAAACGCGCCCCTTCCTTCAGGTTTCCTTCAACCCAAATTTACCACGTACGAGGGGAAGACGGATCCCTACATACACCTAAGCCACTTCCGCCAGGTTATGGCGGTATATCGGCGAAACGAGGCTTTGATGTGCATCCTCTTCCCATCAAGCCTTGGTGACCTAGGCCTGACTTGGTTCGAAAAACTTCCAGAAGGTAGCATAGCCTCCTGGGCCCAATTGGCGGAGGCGTTCGTCACGAGGTTCAGAACGAACACCAAAACCCTGGTGGAGATTGACCAGTTACTCTCCATCGACATGGGCGAAAAGGAGACACTAAGATCCTACAATAGTCGCTGCTGGGAGACATTCAACCAGATTGGGGACTGTCCCACCAATCTCGCCATTGCACAATACAAAAGAGGCCTTCCAGTCGGAAACAGACTAAGGGACTCAATCACCATGACACCACCCCTCACCATGGAGGCCTTGATAGAAAGAGTGCATCAGCACATCAGGGTGGAAGAGGATGGCGCCCGTGCCAAAACAAAATCTGGCATGACCGCAGTACCAGATAAGAAGACCACAGCAAAGATCAATGCGGTAGAACGTCTGAACAAAAACGGACGAGGCAGGCGAGACAACGGAGAGGACCAGGATAAAAGATGGTTGAGAGTCCGCACTGCCATAACCATGGTATTCAAAAAACCGATCTATCGGATTCTGAGCGAAATACGCGATGAACCTTTTGTCAGATGGCCAGCTAAGCTAGGAGAAGCACAGAAAGACTACGACGAAAGGTCACGACGCACCTTCCACAAAGAAAAGGGGCACCGCACTGAAAATTGTATGCCATTGAGACAGGATCTGGAGGAGTTGGTGGCAGCCGGTCACTTGGATAAATACATTGAAGGAGGGACGCAACCAGCCCCCCAGGACCACAATAACCCCAATGGAATGCCAATTGACGCCCCACCTCAAGGTGTGATCAATGTGATACATGGAGTATTCGAACCTAAGCGTGTATGCGAGCTCAGAGGGTCAATCAAAAAGGCTGAACACTTAAGGGAGGTACTAAGTGCCCAACCTGCCATCAAAAAAGGGAGAACAGAGGCCACGAACGTCATGTCTTTTTCAGACAAGGACTTGGAAAGAATATATTGCCCTCACAACGATGCACTGGTCGTCGCCCTCCACATCAAGAATTATGACGTCAAACTAATTCTGATAGACCAAGGTAGCTCATGTGAGATAATGTACTACGACACCTTCAAACAACTGAAATTGAAGGACAAAGACCTGGCACCAGCTGTATCCCCCCTAATCGGATTCAACTCAATGCCAGAATGGCTTGTCGGCAAAATTATCCTGCCAGTCATGGCAGGAAGCGTGACAAAACAAGTGGAATTTTGGGTGTTGAAGGTCCCTTCCACTTACAACATAATCTTGGGAAGAACATGGCTCCATGCCATGAAATCAGTAGCATCATCCTACCATCAAGTAATGCGGTTCCCCAACGATGTCGGGGTAATTGAAAAGGTCTTTGGAGACCAAATTATGTCCAAGCAATGCTTTGTCACCGTTAATGGAAGTCGTGCTGCCAAGGGATATGTACATTCGGTAAAAGAACCTGAGAGCAATGAACTATTCGCAGATGTCGGCAAAGCAGCTGATCAAAAAGTGGTGGAAGCTTAGTAGAGATAAGAATAGATGAAAAGAACCCGGATAAGTTCTTTTTGCTCGGTTCGTCGTTGTCCAGCACTAAGAGATTTGAGGTCTTGGAATTCTTGACCTCTAACATCGAAGTGTTCGCCTGGACACCCTACGACATGCTAGGCATTGATCCAAACTTCATCTGTCACCAACTCAATGTCCACCCATCTGCCAGACCAATCATTCAACGCACTCATAGATCGGCACTCCACCACACTGAAATAGTGGCAGAAGAAGTGGGAAACCTGCTGGAGGCAGGAGCAATCAGAGAGGTGCACTACCCCACATGGATTTCCAACACAATCGTAGTGCCAAAGAAGAATGGCAAATGGCGTGTCTGCATCGATTATAAAACAGTCAACAAAGCATGCCCAAAGGACAGCTTCCCCCTACCACGGATAGATCAATTGGTAGACCTAACAGCGGGGCACAACCGGCTTAGCTTTCTGGATGCGTACAGAGGCTACCATCAGATCGTCATGTACGAACCAAACCAGGAG